GTTTGCAGAGGGGACTTAACTAATGTTAGCATAGGAAACTAAGCATCAGATGTTTGTTCTGTGTGGAGTATTGGTATTTCTTTAAATCTGCAGCTTTGTAAATTGATGATGCGGGGTCCAGGCAGTTGAAAAGCATGAGCTGTCTCTCCTCACTCCTCTCCTTTCTGTATTTCTCTGAATCTGTAAGGAGATCTCTTAAGTGCAACACTTAATGCCATCACTGCTGTTGCTATTTTGGGGCTGGGGCTGAAATTGCAAATGCAGCATGCTGCTGAGATTGCTGTCAGCCAGCAGTGAGCTCTGCAGTGCTGCAGAGAGGTCAAGCAGCCAGGAGCAGGGTCTGGCCTGGCAGAGGGGGCCATATCTGTTCATGCTGTGCTCGGGGAAGCAGAGCTGTTCCCTCTTCTGTGCCCACAGGTGCAGCGGTCAGCAGAACCCTGAGCCAGCCCTGCTCTCACTGTGCTCAGTGATGCCCAGCAGCTCTCGTGTCTGCAGCAGATTGTTGGGAAGTGAGTCCAGCACCAGCACTGCTGAGCAGGTTCCTGGGCAACCCTGGGTGCTCTCACTGCCCATCTGCACGTTGCATTTGGGAGCCTGACCATCCAATCCTAGTGCTTGGGAGTTATTTTCTGGCTTTGTCCTGGAGACCCACATAAAGAAATGTGTTGCAAGGGAGCACTGCTCTTTATTTCCCTTCTCTCCAGTGCTGCCACTCACTCCCTGTTGGTGTTGGAGCCACTTCAGTTCCGCCTTGCTGTGTAAACTCAGCCTAAGTGTGCTCAAGTGTGGTGTGAGGCTGCAGCACGCAGGCAGGGCTGCTGCTGCCAGGGCTGCTAGGAGCTGAGTGCAACCAGCTGGAAAGCCTTAACTCTTGTCTTGCACAGCATGTGCCATTGGAGCAGTGATGCCCCATCCCCTGCTAGCCCTTGGTTCCAGGCTGGCCGTGATGCTGAACAACCCACACCTAGCAGAGCTTTATGCAGGCCTGTCTCTGGGGCTGTGTGTGCCAAGGGACGTTCCTGCAGATGTTGTTCCAGGTATTAGAGATTAGAGAGAGCAATCTTTGTGGCATGTATCACTAATTTTTCTGCATGTGTCCTTTCTGTGCACTGTTTGTGTCTCCAACTGAGTTAAGAAACTTAAGCCTTGGCTTTTCTTCCTTAGATGTGTAAGCGTTTGCTGGCACCACTGAAGTGCAGCAGAGTCCTGCCTGTGTTTTATGGCTGTGCTCTGTGAAGTCCACCCAGGCACTGTACAGTGTATTTTTCTTACTGTTTTTCTTTCAGAAAGGTGAGCCTGATGCTATTTTCTCTTTCTTTCCCTTCACCTCCTTGTTCTTTATTCTTAAGAAGTTCACTTTGTGACGCTACTTTAACAAGAGAAACCCAAATGTCTCGTGCCTTTCTTAAGGGAATGCTGTGTCACTGGGCTGGATCTGGGTGGAAGTAAAAAGCCCCACGCTGCCTTTGAGATGACTTTAAAAGGTGTGAAAAGGAGGGGCGAGAGAGATGGGCAATTGTCACTTCAACACTGTGTTTTGTAGCATTTCAGCTGTGGAGGTTTCCCACTCTACCTGTTACTAACTGCACTGGTGCTGCACTGAGCTCAGTGTGAAGGTGGTAGAATTGGAGGAACAAGATTGGTTTTGCTTGTAACAAAATACGAGTTCTGCTCACAATAAAAAATACTGTTTTCTCCCCCCCACCTGCCAAGCCAGGACACAAAGCAAGCAGAAAACCCTCTGTGCAGTGAGGGCTGGGGCACAGAACTTATGGGAGCAGCAGGAAAGCAGCACGCATCATCTGTCTGCCCTGCTGACTTGGTGAGTTGGATGCCACCACAGCTGAATGGGATTCTGCAGGGAGACATATCCTGGCAGGAGTGTGCTGGAGCTTGTCTGCTGCACTGCCCTGCTCTGCCTGTCCCTGCACGAGATGCAGGTTTAGGCTGGCAGCCTCCCAGCAGCCCTGCTTTCTACAGAAGGGCTTTGCTGCTCACCTTTTGCTGAGCCTTCCCCCAGGAGAACAGCGTGCTGCTCCCTGCATGAGGCTCACTGCATTACTGTAGCTAATCCTGAGGCAGGGTCATTACTGTACATGGTTTTTGTTTGGTTGGTTGTTTGTTTGTTTGTTTTCCAGTTGAGCAATTACAAATGCAACTCCCTGGGCACTTCCTTCAAGGTGCCACATTGGAAATCAGAGGGGAATAAGGAAGCTTATTCTTAAAGTTCCTCCTAGAAAGCTTTTTTTTTTTTTTTTTTTGAAACTTCTGGTGGGGGAGGAACAGTTGTTCTTTCTCTTGAATGACAAGTACCCATTTGTATAATATCAGTGTTAAAAATATTGAGATTTTCACACAAAAAAAAATATTTTAAAAAGAAGTATAATAGTGTCATTAATATAAAATATAATAGCAGTATTTAATCCTTTCAGATCTGTAAAGAATAAGGAAAAACAGAAGGTAAATATTCTTACAGAGAGTAGCTGAGCTTTAAGGTTCACTTGGTTTAAAGTCCTCATTTTGTTTGCAAATGCATTGTTAATGTTTAGAGGTTATACTAATGTTATTTATTAATTGTTTCCATTCTCGTATGCTGCCCACTAAGAGCTTCTTTGGGATTTCATTCACCTGTGTCAGTAAAAAGAAAAAAAAAAGAAAACGAAACAAAGTTTTATTTTTAAATAAAATTTCCTTTGTTGTAGCAGATGGGCTGCGTTGTGGTGGTTCTGTGAGAGGGGAGCATCCAGCTGGAGTTTGCCTCATCTGAGTACCGAAGTCTGGCATGGGGAGTTAATGCTAATGATAGAGCATATGCTATCATACTAATCTTGACTAACATGTTATAGAATCCATAAGAATCTATATGTCTGAGGGTCACATCAACAAGTTTGTTCCTATCCATTAAAAGAGTACAAAAGGAATGGCTGCTAATGGAGTCTGCAGTGCTGGTTGGGGGCTGGGAGATCCTGAAGCATCAATCCCACTCTGTAGAGCCCATCTGCCTCTCACAAATTCCATTGGTCTATCACAGTAAATGTTAATCTCTTCTTTACTGCATCCTGTTTTGAGGTCTCTTACATAGTTATGGAATGCAGAAAACTATATGGAGAGATCAGAAGAACTCAAGGTGATGTGTATACATGCATAGTACAGCATGTCTAGGGTTCTCCTGAGCTCTAATGAATGCACTTGGTGCCCAATGAACCCTGCTGGGCCACTGGTGGGCAGAGATGCTCTTAAAACACTGCCTGCCCTGAATGGTGTGTTGTGGGCTTAGATGGAAGCATGAGGGGCTGTGGGGTCCAACAGGGTTGGGAAGAGTGCTTGGATACTGCTACACTGTGATGCACTGATGGGCAAAAGGCCTGTTGCCATGTGGCTAAAATGAGGACATAGTGGGCCAAATGAAGTTGACTAGTTAATTGGGGGTCAAATGAAGACAGGTGAGCTCACGTGTAGTCAAGTCACAGAAAATCAGTGATCAGAAAGGTCAAAAGGGGTTAAGTGGGGTTGAACGAGGACACAAAGGTCAAATGAGGTCACAGAGGTCAAGCAAGGTCAAATCAGGGAAAATAAGTGGCTTGAAAGGTCAGATGAGGTCACAGAGGTCAAATGAGGACGCAGGGGTCACGTGAGGTCAAATCACAGAAAATAAGTGGTCAGAAAGGTCAAATGAGGTTAATTGGAGTCAAATGAGGTCACAGAAGTCAGATGAGGTCACATGAGGTCAAGAAAGGTCAAATCACAGAAAATAAGTGGTCCTAAAGGTCAAATGAGGTTAATGGAGGTCAAACGAGGACACAAAGGTCAGGTGAGGTCACAGGTCAAGAGAGGTCAAACCACAGATAATAAGTGGTCAGAAAGGTCAAATGAGGACGCAGAGGTCAAGTGAGGTCCAATCACAGAAAATAAGTGGTCAGAAAGGTCAAATGAGGTCACAGAGGTCAAATGAGGTCAAGCAAGGACGCAGAGGGTCAACTGGACATGAAATAAGTGGCTTGAACTGTCCCCCTGGGTTAATTTTGGTCTAACAGACACAGGGGTTGGTTCCCACTGTGTAACTTAGGCCCAATGAGATGCTCATGGTTCCAGTGGGCTCTTGTGAAGCCAATCAAGTTGAGTGGATGTTACGATTTGCTGGTTTCTAATAGAACTGGTAGTATTTTATCTCAATCTATGAGAAATTTAACGTATTTGTTCATATCCATACTAGTGTTGTTGTCATTCCCTGTTACAAACTGTCACTGTTCCCATAAGCTACTTGACCTATTTTAGTATCAGTAGTACAATTACCTCTTAAAATGTGTTAAAACCCATTAATAAGAATTATTAATGGCATCCCAAGGATCCAAGAGTGGGAACGGATCCAGCAGCTGTTGGAATCCCAGCAGTTGACCATTCCCAGCACTGGGAACCCCATGCAAAGAAGCAGAGCATCACCACCCCCAGGAACAAAACCACCACCAAGCTTTGAACTCGGTACTTTATTTTCACATATATAAAAAAAACCTTGCAAATATCAGACAAAAACTTCTGGAAATGTACACACCATCCAACAAAAATATATATAAACCAAAGCGTCTGTTTGGACAACACTTGCAGCTCACGATTACAGCTTCGGAGGTGGGGGGGGGGAAAATCTGTCCCTCCTCCTGGTGACCTGAGGTCCTGCTGCAGCGCAGGGGGGGCAGAGGAGAGCTGGGTTGGGAAGGGCAAGGAGGGGAAGAGGAAGGGCGGGGGGGGGGGGGGGGGGGGGGGGGGGGGGGGGGGGGGGGGTCTCTGCTTGTCCTGATCCTTCCTGTGGGATCAGGGGGGAGAAAGTAATGAAGGAGTTTTTCCCTGGGGCTGATATATGTTAGGCAAAGAATAAGAAAGAAGGGCAAGAGCTAAAGAAGAAAGGGAGGAAGAGGGAAAAGGAGGAAAAGGGAAAGGAGAAAAAAAAAAAGAAAAGAAATGGGAGGAAAAGAAGAGAGGGAGAGGGGGGAGGAAAGGAAAAGAGGGAGAGGGGGGAGGAAAGGAAAAAAAAGAAGGAAAAATGACGAAATGAAGAAAAAAAGAAAGGAAAAAAAATCCAACCCTGAGCCGTCGCTGCCTGGCGCTGACCTCGCATTCCTTCTGTTCACACCCAGACACAGCCCAGTGCCGCCAGCAGCCGCACATCCTCCCTGCAGCAATCCCACCTCCCTCCCCTGCTCAGCAAAGCCCGAAACCTGGGAGGCTCAGAGCTCAGGCACCTGTCTGAGAGCAAAGCCCTGCCCTGCATCAAGGGCTCACACAGCTCTTCCCCATCCCCTAACAGAGCCCTTCCCCTTCCAGCTGCACACCCCCGTGCCTGTATGCTGCCTGGGGCATCCTGCTGGCAAAGTCCCATCAGCTTTTCCGAGCCAAGTTTTGGGGTAAAACTCATCCAAACCTCCTCACACACGTACAGATTTCCATTAAAAACAAACAAACAAAACAAAAAAAAATCGAGAAAAAGAAACAAGAAAAGCCTCCAACCCTTCCATCAGGTAGGTAGCCGAGTGGGGTGTGAGTATTGCTGTTGGCTTCTCTGTAGCAGTAAGCAAAGGCTGCTGCTGAGCCGACAACCCGCCAGCCCGCTGTGAGCTGTCAGGGGGGGTCGCTGCCTCTGGCTGTGCCCCCCAGGTGTGGGGCAGGGTGGGATAAGGCCATCCAAGAGCAGGAAAGGATCGAAGGAAGAAAGCACTTCGGAGATCGCCCTCTCTTTATTTTCTCAGATCGATGTATTTCTCGCTCTTCAGGCCAACGAAAAGAGAAAAGGGGGGAGAGGAAAGCAGTTAAGTTAACAAAACAGAACAGGTGGGGGTAAGAACAGGAGCGTGCACCATCGCAGGGCATGGGGCAGCGAGCAGTGAGCTGTGCTGGCAGCAGGAGTGGGGCTGGAACCATTCTAAGGCAGCCTGCTCAGTGCTGCATCTCATGAGATGAGTGCACAGAGCCCAGCCCTGGCACGGTGACTGCCTGGCACAGGCACTGGGAACAACTCCTGCACAGCCCCCGGGGGGCTCTCAGCCCTGGGATTGCCATCTCAGCCTGCACTGGGCTGAGTTCTGCCAGGGCTGATCGTGCAGCCGCTTCCCCCAGCGCCCCTGGGGCAGCCCCAGGAGAAGCCAGCACGGAACACAGCCAGGCAGCTGTTCCCCGAGGTGCCAGGGCTGGCACACAGCAGAGCTGGCAGAGCTGCCCTGCATATCCTCGCAGCAGCACATCCATCTCCTCCCCTCCCTCCCAGCCCCTCCTCGAGCGCTGCTGATGGATGATGGAGGCCCATGCAGGGTGGGAAGGGCTGTGAGAGGAGTAAAGCATTACCTGGAGCACCTCTGGCTGCTGCCCAGCTGCAGCACAACCCTGGCCCCAGCACACGATGCTCGGTCCTACCTGGTCAGCAGCCGACCTCTTCTCGCCGTTGGCACCCTGCAGGAGCCCCGCCTCTTCGGAAAGTTTATCTGACTTAACTTCAACTACATTCTTGTCTTTACGTGCCTCTGGCTTTGTGCTAAGGGAGGGAGGTGACAATTTTGAGACATCTTTGCCATAGCCAAGGGCACGTGGCTGGGGGGAGAGAGGCCAACCGAGCCCCCGGGCTCCGCCTCGGGGGACGCCGTGGGACAAGGGACAGCTGGGGACAAAGCTCCAGCAGGGGGGAAGCCCTGGGCTGTACGGCCCCTCCCTGGGGATGGGTCCTTTGGCTGCCCTAAAGCTCTGCTCCTTCCTCATCGCGGGAAGCTGGAAGCGGCCCAGACTGCCATGCTGGGCAGGGTGAGGTGGGATGGGATGGGAAGCAGATGGGTGGTGATGGCAAAGCGGCTCTGCCCCGAGGGCGGCGGTGCTTACATGTCCTGTTTGCCGCTGCGGCCACATGAGATCTTGCCTTTCTTGTGAAGGAAGTAAATGATGGAGCCCAGCACGGCCACCACGAGGATGCAGACGATGATGGCCACGATGATGATGCCTTTGCTCTCTGAGGTCTTTTGATCTAGAGGCAAGAGGAGAGTAGGTGAACGTGCATCAAACCTCCTGTGCTCCCAGGGGTAAGAAAAGGAGCTCCATCCCCAGCATAGCATCACAGGACTCCCTGCTGTCTGTAGGACGCAGATGTCAGCACAGAAATCATAGCAGCATGGAGGTTGGAAAAGACCTCTAACATCACCAAATCCAACCCCAACCCATCCCCAACCACATCTCCAAGTGCCACACCTCCACAGATCCTGATAAGCTCTGGGGATGGTGACACCACCACCTCCCTGGGCAGCCTGTATCAGCACCTGACTGCTCTTCCTGAGAAGAAATCTTTCCTAATATCCAACATATCCAACCCGAATGTGTTCTGACAGAGCAGTACCCACACAGCCACACTTTGCATTCTGCTCCCAGCTCCCAAGCATGCTGCAGGACAATGGCTCACAGTGTTTCCTGCAAGCCTCCCCAGCCATCCCTTTGCTCCATTGCCCTGCAGGAAGCTTGCTGGCCTTGCTGGGCAGCAGGATGAGACCAAGCAGCAGCTTTTCCACCCCTGCAGGTGGAGACAGAGCCTCATTCCCTATCTGAACAGGGAGAGGAGCAGCAGATGCAGGAGGCTCCCTCCCCAGGCAAGACAGCAGCATGACTCTTAGTGGCACAGAGCAGGCAGAGGAGAAATGGGGGCAGGTGGGGCTCACCCAGCAGCTGGATGTGCTTCTCGCTGACCCCCAGCGCGTTGGACACCCGGCACATGGCTCCTGCCCGCAGCAGGTCGTGGTTCACACGCACCGTCAGGTTGCTGGCGATGTGCTGGTTATCTACGTACTCGTGGGTCTGCAGGGATGTGGGAAAGCACAGAGCTCAGCACTCACACGCAGCCCTCATCCTGAGAGCCGCCCACAGCCCCTCCCAGCCCTCACCGTCCCGTTGATGCTCCACTGGACGGAGGGCCGGGGGAAGGCGATGGCCTTGCAGGTCAGGTTGATCACTTCGTCCTGCCTCACGTACAGCGGGGAGCTGATGGCCACGATGCGCGGCTTCCCTGCGGGGAGACACAGTGAGTGTCTGCTGTGGGGTTGATAGAAGCAGCAAGGAGCTCACCCTGTGCTCATCCTTACCCTGCACAGCCACGGCCACCTGCTTGCTCTGCTCCAGCCCCGGCACGCTGCGTGCCTGCACTCTGCAGCTGAAGTTGCTGGAGGTCTCGAAGGTGAGGTTGCTCAAGAGGAGCTGGTTGCCTTCTGCCACCTTCCTGCCCTGTTGGAGAGGGAAACGCAAGGCTGGGGCTCAGCACCTCCCATGTTCCACGGCAGGAATGGGCCCCATGGGGCACCCCAGCATGGCAGTACCCGAGCATTGCTCACCCTCGCGTCCCTCCATTGGTAGTCCAGGATTACAGGGCTGTGGGCACTGCAGCTCAGCCTCACGCTGTCCCCTTCATGAAGGGGTGAGGACGGCTCCATCTTCACCTGGACCCCTTCGATGTCTAGGAGAGGGATGCGGAGCAGGGCAGCATGAGCAGAGGGAGGGGCTACCACCCACAAGATGCACAGTGTCCTGTCCCCCAGCCTTACAGTTCACCATCAGCTCCAGATCCCCTTCGTGCTGTGTCATATCATCCAAGTCCAGCGTCTGGCACCTGTACACACCGCTGCTGTTCTTGTTGACATCGTGCAGCATCAGCACCCCACTGTTGGTGTCCGCCAGCGAGGTCACATCCTGCCAGTTGTCCTCCAGCTGCGGGAACGGGGACAGCACAGCCCTCAGCCCCTCCATCCTGGGACAGATGTTGAAGGAGTGGGGCCAGAACCCCCCCTCACCTCTCTCTTGTAGAAGCTGAAGACAGGTGCCGGATTCCCATCAGCATCACAGACCAACTTCACATCATCCCCTTCCTTCACCACCCCCGATTTGCTCACCAGGCGCAGCTCCACATGCTCTGTGGGGTCTGCGGGAGGAGGAAGAAGACGGGATGGGTGTTGGTCCCCCCTCCCCACAGCACTGGAAACAGCCCCCAGCCCCACACTCACAGAACACGGTGACGTTCACCCGCGGAGAGTCCTTCGTGCGCATCTGTCCCTGCAGCCAGTAGTGCACAGTGCAGTGGAAGAGGGAGTTGCGGTCCTCCCGTGTCACCTTGCTGAAGAGTGTGCTGACCACCGTGTACAGCCCATTCGACTGGCGGACCAACGTGGTCAGGATCTTTGTCTCTGCAGGAGATGCAGCCGCTGTTCCCAGCCCGCAAGCAGGGAGGGGTGTCCCGTCCCTCTCCAACCCCATCCCCACCCCAACTCACTGTCCTCCTCCTGCAGCAGCGGCTCCCCGTTCTTGTACCAGGTGATGTTGGGGGACGGGAAGCTGTTCTCGCTCGTGCACTGAGCAATCTGCAGCAGCAGGGAGCACCATGGGCATGGCACAGCCCAGGGGGTGCCCCTGTGGGGATGGGGAACTGGGGACCTCTCCTCACCTCTGACATGTCATTGCTCTGCGCAGGGATGCCGGCAGAGTTGGGTGTGATCTCAGGGGGCGCAGGGATCTCTGGAAGAAGCCACTCCACGCATTAGGAGGAACAGGACAGGATCCCCATCCCCACACCATGGCTGCCCCATCACTCACTGTAGGTGCTGAGCTCGGTGTGGTTCTCCCCCACGCCTTGGCTGTCCGCCCCAACCCGACAGATGAAGGTCCTGGCGTTGTCTTGCCTTGTCACCTTGCTGATGGACAGGGCCTTGTCCTCCCCCACCGACAGCCTCTCGCTGTACTCTGTCTCATCTATCCGTGCCCCACTGGCGGTGAGGACGCACAGCCTCACCCGATTGGAGTGACCATGGTTGACCTGGGGACGAGCCTGATGTAAAGCCCTGGGCACAGCCCCGTGTTGTGGCCACCCAACCCCACAGCACTCACATAGAACCACTCGATGGAGGTGAAGGAGACGTTTCCAGGGATGGAGAAGCTGCATTCCAGCCTAGCTGTGCTCCCAATCTCCACTTCCAGCACTGCTGGCATGTAGACCTCCAGCTTGCCAGCCGCACCTGGGGGAGGAACAGCACCCTCACACCACATCCCCAGCACAGAGAGGCCAGGGCTTACCCCAGGACTGCAGATCTCCACCCACAGAGCCAGCAGCCTGAGCACCCTCCCTCCAACACACCCAAGGTGAGCTCCTTGTTATATCCCTGCCTGCAGCATGGGGGCCTGCAGCACTAATGGAGCACCTGGCCATGCTCCAAGGTAATGGCTATTGATCCAGGGCCTGAAGCAGAGCTGCCCTGCACTGGGGCTGTGGGCTGAGCAGCCCCAGCTGGGCACAGCACAGGGCAGAGCAGAGCTGCGTCACAGCATGGCTGGCACACCAGTAAAGCAATGAGGTGTGCATGCCCCATGCAGTCCCCCAAGCTGGGATGGCAATGGGGAGCCCAGGAATGGGTCCAGCAGTGCAGCACCCCCTACCCAGCCCACGTCTGAGAACAGGAGATAAGAGGGCTGCAGGAAGGCAGCTGTGTCAACAGCCACCTGATAGCATTGCTTGGTGACAGCCACACAGCCTCACACGGGCTGCAGCTTCAAAGGGTAACACCGTGCCCATAGAACGCTCTCTGTGTGAAGTGGGCACATGGTGGCACGGTCCCAGAATGCAGCCAGGAGCCCTTTCTGCCACAGCCAAGGTGCTGGCTCACACCACCAGCACAGCCAGGGCACTGCAGCAGCCCGCTCCTGTCCTCACCCCTTCCATAGGGGCAGCACAGCTGGCACTAAGCAGAGGGACAAGCAAAACAGCATGCAGGAAAGGAGGAGTTGGAAAAACAGGTGAAAGCCCCAGAGATAAAGTGTGCATTGGGGTCAGGAAACCGGACTGAATGCACAACCGGAGGCACCTGGCCCCAACCTGGCACAGCTGGGCACCCACAGACCCGGGCATGCCAGGCTCTGCTCCCCAGCCCCAGGCAGAGGCAGGAAAGCTGCAGCTCTCAGAGCTCACCAGCTCAGCATGACAGCCCCCGTCCTGGCCGCCAAGCAGCCGAAACCATGAACTCAGAGCTGGGGAATGGCTGGCATCCTGGGTTGGCAGCAGGCACCCCTCCTGTCCATTCGCTGCCCTTGAAGAGGCAAAGAGGGAGACTGCAGCCCCCTCCCCACGTCTCCCTGCTCCCCGCCTGCTCCAGGACAGGCTGGATACCCAGGGTGAAGGGCTCAGCCAGGCACCGGGCTGCAGGGAGCACCTGGTGACATGGCAGGCACTGCTAGATGGGTTCACAAGGACACCACCTCAACCCAGCAGCGGGCACCGGGTCAGGGCTGGAAAACTATTAGCCACTCACAGGCTGCAAGAGCTGAGCGCCAGCCCATAACAGTGAGCCCTGTGTGCCTGGCACAGCTCCAACGGGAGACCTCGAGATGCGGAGGGGCCGCCTGCAGCAAGCGAGCTGGGAAGGGAGGAGAGCCCCCGTGCCTTTCCATCTGGCTGGCGGACAGCCGGCCGGCAGCCAGCGCTCCGCAAGAACAAAGATTTGCTTTTAGAGCAGAGGAAGGGGGTGGGGAGCAGCACGGTCCCTCCAGCAGCTTTCTGTGGAGCCGAGGTGTGCGGGCAGCGCACGGAGCAGAAGGGCATGGTGGGGGCATGGTGGGGGGCTGCAGTGGGGTTCTGCTTCCCTCTTGGAGGGGGAGAAGCTGCTGCCAGCTCCGTGCTGTGCCAGAGATGGTGATGGAGGCAATGCTCTGCTGCCATCCCAGCAAACTCCCCCAGCTGCGTGCAACAGGAATGGCCAATCTCACACCTTCTCCAAACCCAACCGTCTCCAACAACGCGATGCCAACAGCCCCACTGCCTATACCCCCACTTGGGGGTGCACAGCAAGCACCCAGCCTGTCTGGGAAAGGCTTTGGCCGCAACCCCTCGTGCTTCTGGGAAGCATCAAGCCCTTCGCCGAAGCTCTGCTCGCCAACACCGCTGTGATGCCAACCAATGGGTGCTCTGCTCAGCACGTGTGCTGAGAGGAAGGGGATCCCAGCACGGGCCGGGGGTGGGAGCTCAGCTCTCAGCTCTCCCACAGCACCCAGGCCTCGGTCAGGACAGGGTTACCCCATGCTGTGCTGCAGGCTGGCAGGGGTGAAGAGCGGGGACCCCCGTTATGGGGAAGGCACAGCTTGGGGTAGGAAGCACAGCCCATAAACCAAGGGAAAACGGACTGGAAAGAAGATAAAAAAAGAAAGTGTAAAAAGCCAAGAGAAACACGGCGCTCGGGGAAAAACTCCTTAGAAGGAAAGGGGTGGATGCTTCCTAACAGCTTGACCGATGCACCCTGCCGCACACTGGACACACGTGCGGGCACCCTGCCCTCACCTCTGCCCCATGGAGAACAGCCACAGGACTGGGGCTACCACCAGCCACCTGCCCGAAGCCACCGGGGATACAGAGAGCATCCCTTACCCTGTGCTGCTTTAGGGAGCTGCAAAGCGGCCCCAGGGACAGCACGGGGCAACTCCCAGCTCTGCACACAGATCCACTCCTGAAGCGGAGCCTTGGGACGTGCAGGGCGGGGACGGAGGGGGGGGGACGGGGCGGGGGCTGCTCCCACCCCACTCCCCCGCACCACGGTTTTAGCATTCCTGGACTCTGGCCAGGCGGTGCCCGAAGGGCGTCAGCTCCCCCGGCCGTCTGCATTCAGCCCGGGAGTGGGGAACGGCCCACGGGGCTCTTCAGCTCCATTTGGGGAAGGGTTGCAGCACAGAACCCAGCCCCACGCACCGCAACTGCAGGAGCAGCGTCTGGCCGCATCCCTGGCACAGGGAGGAAAGTTGGTGGGGAAGGGGCTCCCTATTCATGGGGGGACACCTATGCCTCGCACCCCGAGAGTCACACCCTGAAAGCAGAGCACCATTTCCCAGCACTAAAGCGGCTGCACCCTGCGGTCTCCCATCTCACAGGGGACTGCACCCCGTAGCACGCCCCAAAAGCAGTCTGCACCCGAAAGCAGACGCATTCCACGCTGCACCCCAAAACAGATGCACTCCGTGCCCCGCTGCAAAAGCAGCTGCGCCCCAAAAGCGACTGCGCGCCGCGTCCCACCCCAAAAGCACCCCAAGAGCAGCCACACCCCGCGCTCTCCCATCCCGCAGACACCCCACAAACCGACCGCATCCCAACAGCACAGCACCCCTCGTCCCAATCCAGTCGGGCTGCATCCCACCCCTCCCCAAAAAAACAGACGCTCCCCGCTCCCCCCTGCCCCCCCACCCAGGTGCTCCCGGTGCCACACCCCGCAAACAGCCCCGCACCGCCTCAGGTGCTCCCAGACCCCCTCCCCAACCCACCCACCGACTCCTGCCCCACTCACCGCAGCACAGCAGGAGGCACAGGAGGGGGCAGCAGCTCCAGCCGCCCCCCCAACCCCAACCGCAGCGCGGGGCCGCCCGCCGCCCCCCAGCCATGCCCGCTGCCGCCGCCGCCCGCCAGCGACTGAACGGGACCCGCGGGCTGACGTCAGGAGGAGAAGGAGGAGGAGGAGGCGGGGAGGAGGAAGGCGCGGTGCTGCTGCCCCCCGCCCGCAGCCCCTTATCCCCCCCCAGCGGTCGCGCGGTGCCGAGCCGCTCTCCCCACTTCTCCCCTCCCACCATCACCACCCCGGTTCGGTTCGGTTCGGTTCCGGCGCCGGGTCCCACTGCGGCTCATTCCTGCCGCCCCGCCCGCCCTGCCCAGGCTTGCTCAGGTTGTCGGGAGCAGACAGGCAGGCGCTGGAGGTGGGAACCCCTCGGGGGTTGGGGGTTGGGGTGCCGTTCTTCGGGAATAGCAGATAGGGGCACAATCCCCGTCGAGGGGAGCAGCCCCATAAAGCAACCCCTAAAGCGGTTGGCTCACCTTGAAGCCTCGGAGAGTGGCTCAGGAACAGTGGGACAACAAAACGCCTTTTGTCGTTGCTTGGGCTGTGGGGCGGAGGGGACACCCCCATACACACCCCATACAGACCCGTATCTTTGTGGCTTTGCCCCCAGACCCTGCTCTCCGTACCAGGGATGCCGTACCGAGCAGGGATGCTCGCTCTATAGCAGATGCCCGTTCCTATAGCAGAGCCCCACCGAGGGGCCCCACGGCGCACTGCTGCCCCCCAACCCCCGCGCAGCTGCTGAATGGGGCGGCTGTGGAAGAGCCGCGGTTTGCACGGCCGGGGCAGAGGGCTGGCTGGGGGCCGGCCCGGGGGCGGTGGGGCGGACAAGGCTGCTATTATCCTGGGGAAATCACCCGTCCCCAACACAACCCCACTGAGACCCATTCCCAGTGCAAGCCCAGAGAGCAGAGCAACCCCTCCTCCCCCCCCAAGCTCCTGTCCCCCACACTGCTGCATGCCTCACTGTCCCCATTCTCCATCAGATCTCGGGGACAAAGCACCACAGCTCCCTTGAAGCCCCCTCTGCCTCCCACCCTCTCCCCACCTGCACCCAAAGCTCTCTGACCCGTATCCTGCTGCAGACAGAATGCCCTCCTCCAGCTCTGCACTTCTGCTCTTTGCTCCTGCAGCACAGGCCCTGGGGACTGCACACCTCTGCCCACCCCACCCAGGCTCCCCTCAGCCTCTCTCCATGCCATCAGTCCCCCCAGCATCCCCATTCTCACCCCCCAGCCGCAGCAGTGCCCTGCATCTGCCCTCTCCATGCCCCCTCCTGCCTTTGGCTCCGTGCCGGAGCAGCCAGCCCCCAAAAATCCTTCCCTAGCCAAATGGACTCGATGATTCATCGGAAATGATTAAATTCTTTCCCGTCGAGATTAGTTGCTTAAAATGGCAGTGCTGGGCAATGATAAGGCTCCTGGACTGGTGCAGCCCTCCAGGAACAAGTGCATGGAGCAGAGCCTCACTCGCTCCCCTATGGGCGCATGGTGGAGATGCTCACATAGCCACAGGCTGCCCAGGGTTGAGGGTCCCTGGATGCTTTCCTCTCCCCAAATGCTGCACCACAGCCCCGTGCTCTGCTTGTTTTGTACAAAGCAGCATGAATGAACCCTACCAATGCCACCCGGTGAGGGCAGAGAAAGAACCCAATGCTGCAAACAAACAAGTGGGAGAGCCTGGCTGCCACGCTGCTGTGCATTCTGTTCCACTGCGAGCTTTTATTCCCCGTTAAAAATAAAGCAAAACGAAAATTCCCAGCCCTTGGGAAAGGACAATGCCACTCCCATGAGAAAACAGCCTGGCTGTGGGTGCCAGCCGACAGCAGCTTCTATGTGCCTTCTGCTTTTCGGGGCGCTTTGCTTTGAAGACAACTTTTTCCTATGTTTTTTGTTGTTTCCCAACCAACCTCATGGTTCTGGGGAAAAAAGGTTTGGGATCCGGGTTATGCATGAAATCACCTGGCACCCAGTGGGTGCAGGCTCAGCAGGGAGCACAGCAGGCGGGCTGCCTTCAGCTGCTTTATCTCACGCCTTCTTATTTATTTGCTTGCTTAATGGATTTGGCTTCGGCCCCCGCTCGCTGCTATGCAAACAAACAGCGTGCGCCGTGCTTGGGGCCGCTGTCCCGCACACACAGGCAGAGTGGGGAGGTCAGTGGCATGGATCCCTGCTCTGCTCGAGGTGCGTGCCCACAGCAGGGCTGTCTCACGGTGCTGTCTGAGCATCCCCAGCTGCAGGCGGGTTGTAATTGCATTTGCTCCTCCTGCACCTGGCTCTGTGCTGCCGGCGGGGAGCAGTAGCTGCAGGAAGGGCCATGCATGGGGCTGAGCGTTCGCCCTGATGATGATGGGTGATGAAGGCTGATGATGGGTGCTGGGTGATGCAGTGCTGCTGGCACGGAGTGGATGAAAGGAGGATGGAAGCCGGCTGCTGTATCCGCCTAGGCCTGCGCTGCTTCACACAACACCGTTGGGGTGGAAGGGGCCCATCCTCAGGGAAAGGCTGGGAGTGAGGCCAGCACTCAGCAATAGGAAGCTCACTGCCTCCATCCGTCCGGGGAGAAACCCCTGGGGCTGCATTCCAGCTGTAGGGCTCATGGGATGCACAGATCGATCGCAGCCTGGGCTGAATTGTGAGGATGTAATCCTGAGTGGAGGGTGAGGGACGAACATCAGCTGTGCCGGGAGCACACAGACAACCTGCACCACCACCAGAGCCCTATGTGACGTCCCATGGCTCAGCAGAAAGCTCCCTTCCTCCCTCCTTTGCTCGGCTGGGCTTGCAGCCTCTGCTCTCCCTTCTACAGGGATTACCGACCATGGCTACGGGGCTTTGTTTAGGAGGGGCTGGGAGCAGGCGGAGGGAGGAAGGAAGATGACATCTGGATTTGTGCACCTGGGGATGGAAGGCAGCTTTGCAGATGCCGAGTAGTGGCAAAGCCCCAAAAAAGGAGTTGAAATGGCAAAGGGGACACCCAGCCCCACACTTGCCCCGGTGATGGTGTGGAAAGGTTTGGGGCATGCAAACCTGCTCTGAGAACACACAGCACAGACAGACAAGGACAGCTGGGGAATGAAGGGGAAACCCTACCCGGCTGGGGGCCACCACCAAGGCATAGGGAAGGAGCCCTGCACCCAGGGCTGGATGCTCATCCCGTATCATGGATGCGGGCTCCATGCAGCCCAGAGCAGGTGCAGCCCTGCATGGTGTGCAGATGGCCACGTACTGCCCTCTCGTTTGCATGTGCACAGCCAAACTGGGACAACCATCATGTTTGTGCCCAAGGATCCTCTCTCAGCCCTGAGTGCACCACACTTGTGAAGGGAAAGCTTTGGGGCTGGGGGAAGCCTGCAGAGCAGGGACAGCTATTTATAAACAGGCTTTTTCCTTCGGAAGATGCTGAGTTCATCTCCCCCCGGCTATTGCCGGATGGAAAAAGGCCCCATTGTCTTGGCGCCAGATGGGCTGGGGCCGGGCACCCGCCTGCACAATGGGGTGGATTATGGGGCTGGATGGCGGGGGGTCCCATGGTGCAGGGATGGGCAGGGGGCCGGCCACGCTCCATCCTTGCCCCCTGCTAACACTGCAGCTCCCAGAGGAATGGGCACCCGAGGTCTCAGCTCTCCACGTCACTGGGCTTCCCCAGCTCGTGTCACTGAGTAGGAAGGAAAAGTCAATCACAACATCACCAGATTTTTTGGGGGGGGAGGGCAGGGGTAATGCTGTGCAGGGTTTGGGGCTGCTCAAAAGAGGGCAAGGGCAGCGAGCAGGGCTCTGTCTATATGCCACCCCCCTGCCTGCACCTACCATGCTGGGGACATGCGAGGCCACTCACACCCATGGGAGCTGTGGGGCCAGGCAGGGATTTCTCCTCACAGGACTTTCCCATGGTTGAGGACTTGCTTTTCCCAGGGCTGCCTGGCTGGGCTCCAACAGGACAGAGAGATCCCAGCTCCTTTTCCTACAGCTCTCAGGCTCCCCATCGCCACAGCCCATGGATGGTGGTGCCTGCAGTAGGGATGTTGGGGGACAGGGCTCCTTTCTACCCAGAGGTGGAGGCTGGAGGAAGAGTGAGGCACACCGCTTTGGAGCAGAGCCTAACTGGAGATGGGGATGGAGACCTTCTTGGAGCGGATGTGCTGAAATGAGCCATTGTTTGAGCCTGATCTGGAGCACGGGGCTGTGCTGGGGCATTTAGCCGGGCACCTTGAGAGCAGCCACAGCTGGGCTGTGTGCTGGTGTCACCGTGCAGTGCTAGCCAGCCTGCTCCTGTATGGGGTCAGCACCCTAGGGACAGTTCCATGGACCCAGCCAGGGCTGGGAGCGGGGGCACGATGCCAGCAGGACCCACACCCCAGCACCACCCTTCCTGCCCCCAGGCAGCACTGGGAGGAGATGCTGGGGCTGGGGAAGCTGTGTCCTACTGCAAAGCAGCGTAGGTGGGAGCCGTGGTGGCCCCTGGCGCCATTTCCCCCCTCCTCAGCATCATTTCCCCCCTGTGCAGCTGCAGGCTAGGCTGCCAACCCTTTGTCTCCCTGTTTTTCCCATTCCTCTTCCACCCCCACAGCCACACGCTGGGCCCCACAGTGTTACGCACCCCCCCCAGAGCCAGGACAAGCAGAGCTCCTCCAGCACTGGGATGCTTCATCTCTTTGCTTTTAGCTCTGGAATAGCCCAGGCTGACTGCTGCTGCTTCCCGACACGCTGCGGTGAGCTCAGAGCTGGGAAGGCAGTGATGCAGCCACACAGCAGGGCTGGGTGCCAGCACAGCCCCGGGCATGATGCACCCACACTCCAATTCTTATACCCTAAAGGTACAGCACAGCCCTGATTCAATGAGAGGAATGAGGTCTGAGCAGCAGGAGTCTGCCCTGCTCCAGGCAGCTGCCATGCACAGCTGGCAGGGCGGTGGCATCATGCCCACACCTCCAGCAAGTGTGAGGACAGCTGGGGGGGAGCCTGCCAAAGAAGGGGGGGGGGGGGGCCAGGCTGCCAAATACCCCATCCTGCACAGGTTTCAGTGACCTTCCTCGGGTGTTTGCAGCCCCTCTCAAGGTGCTTCTTCCTCCAGGTCTTTGCACATCCTTGCAGGAGAAAGGAGCAAGGAAGGAGAAGCTTTGCAACTCTTGGCCCTTGTCTGTGCCTCCCGGCAGCAGGGAAGGGGACGCAGGTGCATGGGGCTCGCAGGGCCCCTCCCCATAGCATGGAGTGAGGAATGAATGGAGCACAGCACGCCCGGCTCTTCTGTTCTGCCCCCCTCCACCCCCTTTTATTTTTTTTCCTGCCTCCTGGTAAAGCAATAAGAAATCCAAACATTACCATAAATGCTCAAAGCATCTTGGCTCTGTCACGTGGGCACCGGCACACACCCTACCAGGGGGGAACACACAGCCAAAACCCTGAAACCAGCCAAGCAGGGAGGGAACAGACCTGAAAGCAGCCAGCAGGACAGACAGACTGACAGACAGACACATGGCTTTGCTGTGCAGTGGAAGGGGGCTGCAGGAGGGGCACCCAGGCACCCTACTCTCAGGGGCTCCCCCCGTGTCCAGGCACTGCCCAGGGCCTTGGATGTCTTTCTCATGGGTCATCTGTTCCACTTGCTCTCCCCTTCCTTAAAAAGCCTTGGGTACGATGCTGGGTGTTCCTCTGCCTGGCGTCACCGTCCAGGCAGTGGGGCCAGGCTGTCTCCTGGGGATGCCCAGCCTGAAAGCTGTCAGGAACCTCTCAGCAGGAAGCAGGACCTGCTGTGAGAGCTACTCCCTGGCCAAACCTTGGGCTGGTCCTGGCCTTGGAATTATTCTGAGACCTGTGCAGGAAACTGCTTGATGTGGTGTAAGCAGCACTGCCCTGGCTGACCCTGTGCTGGAGCGTCACAACCGGAAACCTGCTGGCAACCAGCGCTGAGGCCGGCACGACTCATCACACGCGTGACCCCGCAGCCTGCCCCGGGTGGGGACCGCTCGCAGGGGTTAAGTCGGCGCTGCTGGCCCTTTAAATCCAGCCTAGCGCAAACAACCAATCGGAGGCGCCTCCCCCCCGCCGCGTCCTCCGAACCGCCCAATGGGAAGCGAGACTCGCCGCGTCCCCCTCCTCCGATTGGCCTGCGCCGCGTTCCCGCCCACGACAAGATGGCGGCGCCCATAGCGGGGGGGCCCCGCTTGGGCCTCGGCTGAGGGCTGCGGCCGGGCCCGGCCCCGCCATGGAGCTGGTGCTGCTGCTGCTGCGCGGCCTGCGCCTGGCGCTGGACCTGCTGCTCCTCCTGCTCGATCTCAACTTCTTCCTGGTGTCCTCGCTGGTGACCGCGCTGCTCTGGCTCCTCACCACCGCCGCCAGCCTCCCCGGTGCTGCCACAGCCGGGATGTGGGCCTGCTGGAACGGGCTGCTGGGCGGGCTGTGCGGCCTGGCCGAGGCGGCCTGCGGGCTGGCGTTGGGGGCCGTGCAGGGGCTGGGCGGCCTGCTGAGGGGCTGCTGCTCCGCCCTGGAGGGCCTGAAGGTGCTGGGCCACCTGCTGACCCACCTGGGGCTGCGGGGCAGGGAGCTGCTGCAGCGCGGGCTCTGCAGCCTGCTGGGCTCGGGGCAGGCCTTGCTGAGGGAGGCGGGCGAGGGGCTGGCCATCGGGGTGAGTCTGCTGGCCTACCTGGTGAACAGCATGGTTAATTTGTGCCTGCTGGGCACGCAGAACTTCTTCACCCTGCTGCTGGCCCTCTGGGATTCGGTGGTCAGCCCGGTGCTGCGTGTTGCCGACCTGCTGGCCGCCTTCCTGGCACACGTCTCCAGCAGTGCCATTGCTGTCTCCATCCTGCTCTGGTCGCCCTGCCAGCTGGCCTTCGAGCTGCTGGTCTCCACCGCCGAGCTGCTCATTGGCATCTTCTTTGTCAACGTGTATGGGCTGGCTTTGCTCCTTGCCATCATTGTCGTCAGCGCTGTCATCTTCAACCCCGGGCTGCTCCTCACGCTTCTGGGCCATGTGCTGGGCTACTTTCACACGCTGCCTGCATATCCCCGCCTGCAGCAAGAGGTGTGGAGGCTTTACCAGATGGCCGTGCTGATGCTGGGCATGGCCATGACCTCACAGACCTGGCGCAGGTTGGTGGACTGGAGCTTGCAGGTGACCAACTGGAGCCGAGGGGGCAGAACGATGAACCAGGAGAGCGAGCGGCGAGGGGCAGCCCAGGCCCTGGGCAGGCTGATGCTGGCAGGGGACGACCATGCTGCAGCTCAGCAGGAGGAGCAGCCACGTGCAGAGCAGGTCCCGCAGGCACATCCAGGGACAAGTCGAAGCACTGTGTCTGGGCAGCGTCTCCAGGCATCCAGGGATGAGCCGAGCACCTCCTGGGGGAAAGCTCCAAGGAGAGAGCAGCTGAACGCAGCAGCTGGGGATGGAGAAGGCGCTCCAGACGACGACCCCTGGATGCTTCTGAAAGAACAAGAGGAACGTAAGAAATGCGTCATCTGTCAAGATCAAACCAAGACAGTGCTGCTTCTGCCCTGCAGGCACCTGTGCCTGTGCCAGGAGTGCACAGAAGTCCTCCTGCAGCAGGCTATCTACCAACGCAACTGCCCGCTGTGCCGCCAGATGATCCTCCAGACGCTCAACGTGTACCTGTGAACTGTGGGGTGGGTGGTTTGGGTTGTCTTTCCAGGTGATTGAAGACACCTCTGCCTCATGCTGGAACACAGGATGGCTCTTCCCAAGGCTGCCCTGAGTTATTTCCAAAGAACTAAGGACCAAGAGGCTGTCAGAGGTGTCTTTGAGCCATGTTCAGTGCACAACTAGGCTGTAGATCCTGCTAGCAGGCACAGTAGAAGCAGCAGGCTGAAAGGTTGGTTGTTTTTGTTGTTGTTGTATTTGACAACTTCTGTTTCAAGGCTTGTTGCCTTGAGCCTGTGATTTGAAACAAAGCACAGAGGGATGCTCTGGTTCCTCCTAGCCAAAGCTGATGAAAGGATAAAAGCTGTGCCATCTTGGAAATTACTGGAACTGGTGCAAGGCAAAGGAGTGTTTTTCTACCAAGGCTTGGCCAAAAATCTACCTGGTGGACTGCATTTGCACTCTTTTTTCCTCCTTCCATTTAAGTGGGGCAGCTCCCAGGGAAGGGATTCGCATAGCCCTTTTGCAGGCTCTAGCAAAGCACACTTGAGCTTTTTAGGCTTTTCTACCAAAGGGCTGAGCACAGCTCTCAGCTGGAGGACAGCAGGGTTTCTGAGGCTCCTTAACATCCCAGCCATTATGGCTTTGGAGTCTGAATTTTCCCTTGCCTGTAGGAGCCACGATGAGCATGATCTCCCTGCAGGACAGCTGACTGCAGAGCTCAGTGCTGCTGCTGCTTCCACACCTATGCAAGACCAGCAAGCACATACTGTGTTACTTGCATGGAGGGGCTTGAAGGGAGTTTGTTACCTGTTGCCTGGGAAACCTGAGCAGCCCTCAGGCTCCCTAAGGCTGGAGAGCATTTGCCACTTCCCAGGCAGGGCTGGCAGGAAGGGGTGGCTCTTTGGGAGTCAAGGGGACACCCCAATCCTCCTTGAAGCCCACTGAGACATTCCAGCTCCAGGCACAAGTGTAATGGACCTGCAGACTTGTGCACGGAGCAGTACCAGGACCACAGCTATGTTTGTTTAGGGCAGGGTTACACTTTTTTTTTTGTCTGCGATGTGAAATACAGTTTGTTTAATGTAAGTGTCCCACGAAGTCTGAGGAGGCCATCCGTTCCTAGCCAGGGAGGGCTGAAGTGCCTCATCCCAGCACTATTCCAAGAAACTGCTGGGCTGCAAGAGAGCCACGCGCTAAAAAGCTTTCCCTTTTTCAGCTGCTTGTCTGGGGTCAGCCATGCATCAAAGCCAATTTTGGCTGGAGCCAGATTGGAAGGAGCCTTGACTCCTCGACTGCAAGCCAAGAGCCTGGGGGCGGCTGGCGTGGCTTTCTCCATTCTCCTGCTAACAAATAATTGATTAGTAATTTAAGCCAAAACAGAGGCAGCAGAGAGGCGAGGCCATGCTGGGAGACAACTCTGCCCTGCAAACTTGTGCTGTGTCGAGGTGTGATGGTGTGTGAGAGCAGCTCTGCAGGGACTGCTGTGTGCTGGAGTCTCTTCATCCTCACCTCCAAGCCACTTCTCCTGCAGCTCAGATGGACTCACCCCTGGTTGGGGCCAGCTAGCGATCTTGGGGTGCAACGTTTTCCAATCTTGGGGAGGAAGGACACCTTCTCCAGACTGCAATTTCTCCCTACAAATCTTTTTTTTTTTAATTATTATTATAGCAGTCACTGTTTTAGGAGCCCATTTGTTTTTTGCCTGTTTATAAAAAAAAGAGAGAAAGCTTTGCCTTAAGTTTAACTCTTTGCACTACAAACAAGCAAATTAAAGTTTCCTCTACCAGAAGCCACCTGCTGTCTCATTCTTGGGGTGGGCATCCCTTGGGACCTCCTCTCTGCTTACCCCTGGACTCCATCACTGACACAGAATTGGATTCCAGGGCTGGTGTCACTATGGGCTGCTCAGTGAGGAAAAGACAGAGCAGTCTGCTTTGCAGAGGGTCTTGAGCTGCTCCTGGAAAGAAGCATGTGACTTTTCTCTGCTAGACCAATGCAATCTGTGCTTGGCTTCTCCAGAGCTGGAGCAGTCCAGAGCAGAAGGGCTGAGACTTTCCAGGCTGGCAGAACAAAGCATGAGGATGCATAATCCCAGCTCTCATGTGTCCTTGGTGCTTCCCCATCCTGCTGCTTGTGACAGAGGGTGTTGGCAAGCCCAGTATCCTCAGGGATGGAGACAGCACAGGGGCAACTTTGCCTCACAAAAAAGCTAGGACAGGCTGAGCTGGTGAGCAGATTTGCTGCACAGTTATTCCCTGGCCCTGATCTGAGCTCTTGGCAGACTACTGTGTGCTTTTAAGCACCCTCAGCTTCTCCAGAATCCTTGCAAACTGTTTGGAAAATACATTTCAAGACCCCGATGGGCAGAGACCTCAGGAGGTTTGGCTCACCCTGCCCTGAACTCACCTGCCTTGGCAGGGCTATGCCAGCAAACAAACTAATTTTAACAAGGAAACTCTCATGTCCTGGCTGAAAGTCACACAGGGGGATTGCAGGCAGGCTGCAGGAGTGCAGCTCAGCCAGACACAGCGCCAACATGGAGCTGCCAAGCCCTGCAGGGGACTGGCTGCACCAGGAGAAACTGAGGCACAGCCTTCAGAAAGCTGAGGTGCGCTGGGGGATGGGAGTTGGCAGGGAGATGCCCTGTGCAGCAGACATTCAAGCAGAGATGCATGCAGCCACCTCATCCCACTGTGGTCAAGTGAGAACAGGATGTAAAGGACACAGCCTTCCCTTGGGAGCTGTCCTGCACGCACTTGGCTCACATGCAGCAAGCAATTACAAGAGGAAAATGCAACCATCCCCTGGCTGATGGCAGCCCGCAGTGTCCTGATATTTCTCCAACACCATGCAGCTGATGTGGGGCTGCAGTGATGCTCACAAACCAGTCATGGGCATAAGGTCTGAGGTCCTGGGTGCGTTCCCTTCTACTAGGATGGGAGCAGTGTGATGCTGCTGAGTTACCCCCACTTAAAAGCACTGAGATGGGGGGATGCTGACAGCTTGCTGGAACTGAAATCTGCCCCAGGCCTTGGGAAAATCCCTGGCATCCCTTTGTCTGCCCAGCTGCAACATCCCAGCCCTAATGAGTTGCCACTGCCTGTGTGACAACAAGGAGCTGGCATGACAGACACACACTGCAGAGCAGCTCACAGCCCCTGGCCGATGAGGAGGGAGCAGGTGATGATCAGCAGCAGAACCATGGGGGGCCTTTGGGCTGCTCCCAGGCACCAGCTTTGCTCCCTCATTAGTGGCTCAGAGAATGCTGCAGGGGGCTGTGCTCAGCTGGGCTGTGCATATCATCATGAATGGAAACTCCCTGCTGCCTTCCCAGAGTTTCCATCTCATTGGGGTGCAGATAAAAACATCACTTGAGCCTGGAGGAGGTGATCCCTGGACCTGCTGGTCCCACTCTACTCACCAGGACATGGGATTCTCCCATGCAGATCCCTGAAGAAGACAGTGTCTGCTCTCCTGAAGCCCCCAGCTGGGTCCTCCTTTGGTCTTGTCCCCTTCTTTCAGCTCCTCTGGTTTGTAGGGGCTCACCCACCTGAGCTCTGCTCCTCAGCCACCTGCTGCTGTGAGCTGTTGCCAGATATCGAAGTGGTTCCCATTCCCACAGGAACCAGTGCACAGAGCCCTCAGGACCCTCCTGTTTGTCCTCACACTGCTCTACAGGCACTTTGGATACCCTAGCAGGAGCCTGTTTCCCAGCACAGCCATGAGAACTCACACAGTGCTGGTGTGGGAATTGCTGTGTGCATGCACTGGATAGACCCCCTGGTTGCACACTAGAGCCCTTTACTTGCCCACCTCATCCTCCCCTGATTGTGGACAGCCCCCATCCCCTCTCCCAGGTTGAACTTCTCCTTACCAGGTCAGCCAGGAGTCACCAGCACAGCCTTTGCCACTGAAGGCATTTCCATACTCTGCTCCTGCAGTTGAAGGTTTGGGCTCTTGGTGGAGATGATCGATCCACTTGGCATCTCCACCTCCTCTGCAGCTTCAGGGCGCACACACAGCCAACACCTCTTGCATGCTGCACATGGCAGCCCCGGACTCTTGCTGCAGCCCCAGCCCTGCTGGGCCCAAGCCTCCAGCTGGAGATGTGACCTTACTGTGGCCAAGAAACAGAGTGCTGCTCTGGGAAGGGCTGCCAGCACTTCTTTTTTTTTTTTTTTTAATTAAATAAACATTTCTGTTCCAGCTGCCACCTCTGTCAGCTGCACAACAAGGCTTATCTGCTCATCCTCCTCTTATAGCAGCTTCACCCTCCTGCTGACCAAAGGGGTGGTGGTCCCTCCCCAACCTGGGTGCAGCTGGAATAGGGGCTATGGCCACTCCTTCCTCAGGGGCAGCTGCTGGAGCTCGTTAGGAGCTGCTAGGTATTGCCACCAACTAAAGCCTTTTGTGGCTCCTCATAACCCTAACCCCTCCCTGTCCCCCTCCCTAGGCAGCTGTGGACACCACTATGTTGCTCGGGGGGGTCCCAGCAGTCCCCCACTGACCCCATACAAAGCACCCAGGCAAAAAAGAGCATCTCAAGGAGAGCAGAGCCCAGAGCTGCTGCACCAAGCGCTGCTCCCCGCATCATGATAGGGCCTGGAGGATGCTCCCAGCCCCCACGCACCTCCCCTGGCCTCATCCCAAGAAAAGTCATTTTCCTCCTCTCAGAATAGACAGTTCCGACCATCGATCTGCTCTGCCTCGTTGTTTATCCCTGAGCGGCTCTGCTTACAGAAAAAGCCATCTTCAACCCAAACAGCCGCTTCCGCTGCAACCCGACCCTGCGGCTGGGGCTGGGAGGGAGCTGCAGGGCTCCCATGGGGAGCGAGCCCTCACCCCTGGCCCCATAGCTTCTGCAAGTCCTTGTGGGGCTGTGGGTGGTCCCACAAGCACCGCTGTGCTCTGTGTGCTCAGGTGTGATGCAGCGATGTTCCCTTGGCTCCGGGCCCCTGCGCGGTCCCAAGGTCTGGAGGGTTCGCTCCTTGCACTGTGGGGTTGCTCGTCCCTCTGTCCCCGGCCTGATGGGCAGCACGGCTGCCGAGTGAAGGAGTTCGGCCCCCAGCCAAAAGCCCCCTCCCTGCTCGTCCCCTATCCCCGCAGGACCTATTTTGGGCAGGAATGAGGAAGCTTTTCGTTCCACGGCTAAAAATAGGGACCTTTCTCCCAGCGGATCACTGCTCTCACACTGCATCCCGGGATGGGAGAGGGCTGGCGAACTCCCGAAATCCTGGACACGGTGGGGGGCAACAATTCCCCCTGCCCAACCTCCGTGTCCCCAGCCCGGTCAGGGCCCCCATGGCACCGGGGGGGGGGGGGGGGGGGGGGGGGGGGGGTGAGGAGGTCCCTGCGAGGAGCGACCCCCGGACACATCACTGCGCACTGCAGGGAGCCGAGATCAGAGGTCTGGGAGGGGAGTCCCTCCCCAACCCCTCCCCTCGATGATTTAGGGGAAGGCTCACAGGGAGGGAGGAAGCAAAGGGATGCCGATGCCTCCACCTAGCGGCTTCCCACTGGCTGTTCTGCCTGCTGGCGTCCTGTTCCCCGCGCTGCGAGCCGGCATCCCTCCGTGCAGCCCCCCGAGCGGTGCCAGCCTCCCCTCCGACCCCTAGGCAGGGCCGAACAGCAGCAGGCGCAGGGATGAAGACCCCTTTATTGCGGGTGAAGGAGGAGAGGGGCGGCTGGAGGACAGCGACAAGGACGGGGACACGGGTGACACGGGCAGGATGGCTGCCCACCGTGGGACGTGGCAGGGGGTGGCAGGACGGGCCCCTCGCCGTGCCAGCGGCCAGAGAGCCCGCGGGAAGAAGCGGGCCGAGGGGATGCTGCGTGCACAGGGACAATGTGGCCATCAGGTCACTGCAGCTCCCCGGCATGGGCATAGAGCCCCAAAGCTGGGTGCCCATGATCACACTTAGCTCTGGCACAGAGCTGCATGGGGTGGCAGGGAGAGCATGCCCCTGCCTGGCACGAGGCTATGAAGTCGCAGTAGAGCAAGGGGAGGATGCTGAACATCCTGGCTCCCATATGGCCAGATCCCATCCCCAAGGGGTGCCCATGGGGTCCCCATCCCCAGCCTCACGCTCAGGCGAAGACGGCAGAGTTCTGCCAGTAGGAGTAGACGAGGAAGCCAGTGAAGGTGCTGTCTGTCTTCACGCTGGCGTAGAAGCCGATGTAGTCCCCGACTCCCACCTGCACCCACACCTCATCCTCGGGCTCCAGGCGAACCAGAGCCCCTCCAGAGAGCGAGGTGGGCTTGGGCCAGTTCCCATAGTACTGGAAGAAGGAGGCGATGGTGTGCCCGTTCTTCATGATATCAAACTGCAGGCTGGAGCGGTAGACAGTGGCATGGACAGCAAAGTAGTAGAGGCCAGGCACCTCGCAGGTGAACTTGCCAGTGTTGGGGTCGTAGTGGCCCTGCTCATTGATCAGGACAATGTCAAAGCGGATGGGCTGGTCGGCCAGCGGTGGGCTGCGGGACTCGGAACGCTTGGCGCTGAAGGCGGAGCGGGGGGCCACTGCACACTCACCCTGTGCCCCCTTCTCACCATGCATGCCATCCATGCCGGGGCTGCCCATCTCCCCACGTGGTCCGGGAGCTCCTGGAGGGATCACAGAGGGGACAGTGTAACCTTGAAGCTGCTGTTCCCAGCACAGCCCCTGCCATCTGAACTCCCCCAGCTCAGTTGCCCAGACCCATCCCAGCGGGGTTCAGCATCCCATGGGTGCTGTTACTCTATCTGGGGATGCAGCATACCCCACAAGGGCAGGAGATAAACCCGCAGGAACCATGGAATGGATATTGTACCCACACTGGGGTTCCTGAAGCAGGAAGTGGAAAGAAGGGAGAAACGCAGCGGTGCTGGTGTCAGCAAGCTGCTGACTCTTGGAGGGTCATCCATGCAGAAGTAGGGCAGTGGCAGCACGAAAGGGGCATTTTTGTGGGATTTCCTCCCAGCTTGGCAATATAGGGCAGTGCCAGCTTTCAGACACAAGCTCATTCCCATGGCGAGGGTCCCCTATTGACATGACCCCTTACTTACCTGGTGGGCCCATCTCGCCCTTCTCGCCTGGCATCCCCATCGCCCCATCCCGGCCATCTCGTCCATCTCTGCCTGGCAGACCCTGGCCCCCATGCAAGCCTGGGGTGCCTGGGATGCCTGGTTGCCCTGAGCACTGCCTGGGGATCTTGTTGTCTTCAATCTGCATAGAGCTGCTGATGAGCCCGAGGAGGAAGAGAAGGAAGAGCTGCTTCATCTCGTCTGCCATGCAGGGGCTGGGAGGGGGCACAGGACACAGGTTACACTCCTGTGGGCACCAATTCAGAAGGCTGGCACCCTGCAGCTGCCCTCAATTCTCTCCCAGTTGCCTTTTTGGCAGGCGCTGCCTGCACCTGCTGCAGCATCCCCATTGCCCACCCAAACCGTGGTGATACCGGTGCCAGAAACAGGAGGGGACCAGGTAGGGGAGGCAATAACAGTGCACACGTGCTGACACGGGGTTTTGGGTGCCGAGTGGGCACCGCTGGCAAGATGCCCACAGCTGACACCATGCATGGGCTGTGGTTTTGGTAGACAGCAGTGCGTGGCGGGGCGGCAGCTCAGGAGCTCCAGTTGCATCGTGGCCCTGCCCTTGGCAGCATCCCCACGGCCGGCTCCCTGCTCCGAGCCACCCAGCTCCCTGTATACAGCCATCCAGGGCTGCAGCATTGCATGGGAACATACTGGGACCACCCCGGTGCTGGGACCACCCAACAGCCCTCCCATCCCCGGCGCAGCCCCCAGCCCTTTCCCCATGGCCTTGCCCTAATGAAGTTTCTCTCTCCCCTCTCCTGGACGTGACGGCTACAGCAAAGAGGAAAAGGAGGAGAAATGTGGCTCCTTTCTGTCCCAGTGCCAGAGCTGGGACCCCATTGTGTCCATGCCTCCCTACTCACCGCAGTCCCCCAGCTCCTGTCCCCACGCCCCGCTGTGCTCCGCTGGGATGGCTGCGGCTCTTCCTGACCGCTTCGCTCTGACGAAGGCCCGAGGAGAGGCTGCCTCTCCACCCCCCCCCCCCTCTCCTCCCCACGTCTCTCCTCCCAAACTCCAAAGGAAATCACGGGCCCCGGGAGCCAAAAACTACAAGACAAGGGGAAAAAGAAAAATAATCCCGCGGTGTCGGAAGCGCTGTAAGCAGGGGGAAGGGAGAGCCAGACAAACAGCCCAGCAGGGCGAGGGGAGGCGTGGGATGAGAATCATCAGCGCTGAAGGCATCTGGGCAGCAGGACAGCACGATGGAATGGGGAATATGAGAGAAAACAGAAGGAAAGCAGAGCGAGAGAATTGGAGAGGGGAGCGCGAGTCCTAGAGGTGTGTGATGCCCTGGCTGGCACTTTGTCCCTGGCAGAAGGGATAAGGCAAGAGGAACAGTGAGACACACACAGTGTGGCAGTGCCAGCACTAGGAGCACCCGTGGGGGCTGCAGAGGGTGCAGGCGTGGTGCTGCATGGTTCAGGGATGCGCCAGGCTGCAGGTGCAGGCAGCAGGCAGGGAGACTGCAGGCATGCGACGAAGCTGGGATGGTGCTGGGCTTTGCAAGGCACTCCCAGCTCTCCTTGAATCTGTTCCAGCACCGAGTGCATCCAAGGGATGCTGCAGGGTGCAGTGGTGCGGGTGACACTGCTGGCTGAGCCTTCCTGGCCCACGTACCCAAAAGCTGGGTGCTTGCATGGGATCTGGCTACTCTCCCCCAGGTGTGAAGGGGCTGTTTGTTTTGGCCAGCTGGGAGCTGGTTTGTGGTCACAGGGTGTTGTCAGGCTGTGGCCAGTGGGGTGGCTTGGTGCCAGCATGGCCAGCAAGGACAGAGCCCTGGCTGGAGTGCGTTCTGCTCCCTGCACCACGGAGATGCCTGCATGACACTCTCCAACACCCATCCATTTCCCTGGAGTCCCCCATCCTATTGAGGGCACAGCAACCAGCCCATGTCCTCCCTGCAACTGGGACAGTCCTGTGCCCTATTATTCCTGCCCATGCTCCTGGCTTCCCTCTCTTAGCCCATGCTTCCATTTCTGCAGTATAATCTGGTGGGACCCACACGCAGACCCTCTCCAAACACACCTCCTGCTCCATCACTTCATCAGCTGCTGATGCTCTTTATTTTGCTGGCTCTGAGGCTGGAGGACAGCCTGCAGCCTGGCTCACCCTGGCCCAGCCCTGCTCCATTCACGGAGCATTAACAGCTCTGCTGCTGAGGGCTCAGAGTCCCTCTTCGAGAACACAATCCTGCAAAAAGCCCATGGCATCTGGGCACTGAACTGGGCACAGAGCAAACTGGCAGGCGTCAGGGCAGGACATCTCACAGCTGGAGCAGAAGGGAGGTTTGGGGCACTCCTCTTTCCTCGCCATCTCAGGGCTGGAAGCACTCCACAGGGTCGTTGGAGTCGGGTAGGATGTTACAGTTGATGGGCCAGAGGATGCCGAGGAGACCCAGGGAGTGCTGGCAGCGCAGCTCAGCAGCCAGGCAGACAGCACGGCAGGGCTGCAGGACACCCCCATCTGGTGTGCACTTGGGCACAAAGAGGCTGCAGATGAGCAGGCGGAGGTGCTGGTAGCAGGCGAGCTCCATCAGCGTCTGCAGGAGAGAAGCAGTGAGCACAATGTTGGTGCAGAGCACCCACCTGCAGCCCAGCAGCTCACCTGGTAGTCCTGCAGCACTTCGGCAGCTCCCGCCTGGTCTGGGATGGCCAGCCAGATGTTGGGGAAGGAGGTGGCATTGTAGCCCAGCCCCAGGCACATCTCCACCTCCACAGGCTCACAGATGGAGCCTGCACAGGGAGAGGTGCAGGGTTAGGGTGAGAGTTAGGGGTTACATATCACTGAGGGTCTGATGGTCTCCAGGTGTGCACCTGGGGTAGGTGGTGGCTATGGGATGGGTGTTGGGGGGCATCCCCCAGCCGTGGGCACTCACCAAATGCAGGGTAGGAGACCCCAGTACAGTTCAGCTCATCGGTGCCATCGGGGCAGTCGTGCCAACCATCACACACGGACTCCAGCGCACGGCACTCGCCGTTGCCACAGGAAAACTCTGCGGGGCTGCAGGTTTCTGCCAGAGCAGGGGATGGGGATGGGAGTGGGAAGAGAGCCAGGGGACCTCCAGCCCAAGCTCCTGCTTCAAGAAGGGTCAGAGGTGGGGGAAAACCTGGGCTTCCTTGAGCCAGGCCTTGGAAACCCCTAAGGATGGAGACCACACAGCCCCTGCTGGCACCCTGCTCCCTGCCTGGCTACGTACTTTCTGTGGCATTGCGGGCTTGGTAGGTGGCAAAGAACCCGGTGTCTGCTACTCCTTCATCTGCCACAAAGAGGACTGTCATGACGTGGCGTGACGAGGTCAGGGTAGGTGGCGGCTGGTGGCCACAGAACCTGTAGGGAAATGGGGCAAGAGAGGGCTTTAGGTGTGCAGAACCCTAAACCTCATCTTCTGGTTCACTTCAGCATCCCGCTCCATGCCTCAGTTTCCCCAGCTGAGCCACAGGACCCACACCTGCCCATGAGGCTGGCAGTCCCAGTGCCTGCACTGTCGTGAACCTCCACGAAGTCAAAGCTGCAGTCTTCGTGTGACTCCAGGCTGAAGTTGTGGAAGTGCAGGTCTATGATGTGACCCAGGGGAACGGAGATCTGCCAGAGGCACAGCTGTGGGGACACCCATGAGAGCCGTGAAGCCAGGCAGGGGCATGGCCTTCCTTCCTCCTGCCCTCCTCCTCCTCCTCCTCCCAGCATCCCTTCTCTCACCTGCTGGTGTGGGTATGGCTGGGGGTGGCTCGGGGTGGAGAAGTGCCCCTCCAGGGTGGTCAGCGGCCCCCCGCACTCTGGGGACACACACAGCACTCACACATATGGCAGCTGTGCCCCCTTTTCCCTCTACCATCACCTCCTTGGGGCTGGGGGAGTCACATGCTGTCATCCCACCTTTGTGCTTCACGCTGCAGTTGGCCTCATCGCTCCGATCCTCGCAGTCGTGGAACCCATCACAGACAAAGCCCAGGTGGATGCAGAGCCCCTGGTCACAAAAGTGCTCATCCCATGCACAGCTCTCTGTGGAGTGAGTGCAGCTGTCCAGGCTGGTCACCCATACCCACATCCATATCCATACCCATGCCCACATTCATATCCATACCCATACCCATACCCATACCCATACCCATACCCACATCCACACCCATACTGACATCCATACCCACGTTCATACCCATTCACATACCCACATCCATACCCACACCCACATCCATACCCATTCCCATACCCACATCCATATCCATACCCATACCCACATCCATATCTATACCCATACCCACATCCATATCCATATCCATACCCATACCCACATCCATATCCATACCGACATCCATACCCACATTTATACCCATTCCCATAGCCACATTCGTACCCATTCCCATACCCACATCCATACCCATTCCCATACCCATACCCACATCCATATCCATACTGACATCCATACCCACGTTCATACCCATTCAGATACCCACATCCATACCCATTCCCATGCCCACATCCATACCCACACCCACATCCATACCCACACCCACATCCATACCCATTCCCATACCCATACCCATACCCACACCCATACCCATTCCCATACCCACATCCATATCCATACCCATACCCACATCCATACCTATACCCATACCCACATCCATATCCATACCGACATCCATACCCACATTTATACCCATTCCCATAGCCACATTCGTACCCATTCCCATACCCACATCCATACCCATTCCCATGCCCATACCCACATCCATACCCATTCCCATACCCACATCCATACCCATACTCATTCCCATTCCCACATCCATACCCACACCCACATCCATACCCACATCCATACCCATATCCACATCCATTTCCATACCCATAGTCACATTCATACCCATTCCCATACCCATACCCACACCCACATCCATTCCCATTCCCATACCCATACCCACATCCATACCTACACCCATACCCATATCCATTCCCATACCCACATTCATACCCATACCCCTGGATATTTTGAGGCCAACCCACATGGTGTACTCACTCTCACTGGGAGCCACAGCACGGTACCGAGCACTGAAGCCTGGTGCCCCCACACTGCCATCAGAGACAAAGGTGACACGCAGGTGGTTGGAGATGCTGTTGAAGGTTGGGGGGACCACGCTGCCACAGAACCTGGGGGCACAGTGGTGTAGTAGCACTGCTTGCACCATCCCTGGGTATGCCACCCCCTCCTTGGGTGCTCATAGCCCTACCTGGCAGTGCCCCCCCGGGTCCCCTGCTCCTCATAGAGTTCCAGCCGGTCGAAGAGGCAGGAGGCGGTGCCCTCCACGCTGAACGCATCCATTGTCAGCTGGATGGCCATGCCAGCTGCCACCTCGATGTGCCATATGCAGAGGGCATGGGGTGGGTAGGGGCCGGGGTGGTTGGGGGAGCTGAAGGAGCCCTCGGGGCCACGCAGGATCCCACCACACACTGCATATTACAAATGGGTTTGGATTAAGGGACATGGGGACGTGGCCACCATGGTGTGTCACCCGCATGGGGACTTACCCGGTGCTGGAGTGCTGGCTGCAGGTGGTTGGCCATGGGTTGGGGTGGAGGGTTTGGGGTCCTGGGGGTCTCTCTGGCTGGGTGCCACAGTGGTGGTGGCGGTGCTGCGGGCGGGCAGGGCTGCAGCCGGGGAGTGGGGTGGTGGCGGGGATGTCAGCTCTGCGCCAAGGGGGATGGATGTAGTGTGGGGAGGGAGCTCTGGAACCCCATCCAGCCCCACAGTCACGACACATTCCCCCCCACTCTCCCTGCTCACAGCACTCACGGTGGATGACGATGCCCAGCAGGAGGGCGATGAGGAAGAGGAGAACAGCACTCATCAGAGCCACGCAGAGCCAGGTGAACCTGCAGTCGGCACGGTACTGCCAGCCCGCCTGCACCCAGAGCTGCCGGCCTGGGGAGGGCGAGGAGAGAGGGCAGAGCGGGGTGCTGCCATGTCCCCAGCCCTGTGCCACCCCAGGATGCCAGCAATTCCCCACGCATCCCCACACCCCCACAGGGAGCACCCCATGGGTGGGCTCCCAGCGGCCCCACAGACACGGGCGCATGTACAAACCCCATGCAGGTACCGAGGGCATCCTGGGGTGATGTGGCTCCCACCCCATCCTCGTCCGGTGGCTTCTCAGCTGGAGGCACTGCCAGGGGCTCCTCGCCCTCAAAGACGGGGTTGCAGAACTCAGTCTGCACGAAAGCAGTGGTGCGTGGCACTGTGGGGACCGCACTGTGGAGACCCATCAGGTGGCACCCCTGCCCCAGCCCTACCTCGCTGCGCTCCAGAGCCTCGGGGCAAAGCGTGATTTCAGTGAAGTCCTTCATGGTAGCAGCACTCCTGGTACAGAGCACTTAAAAGCCCCCCCAGAGTGCTCTGCTCCCCAGCGTGGTTGCATGTCCCTCCACCCACTGCTCTCTGGATGCTCCCATCGCATACAGTGCTGGCTGTGCCCACGTGTGCTCAGCCCCACAGAGCCCTATGGCTGTGTGTGGGGAGCCCTGGGAGGCCCTGCTTCCCTTGGTGGGCCCCTTCCCTCTGCCCCGTTAATCCAGCTCAGCTGAGGATGCCGAGGTCAGGCCCTGGCACGGAGATCCCACATCTTAAAGGGGAAAGTGTGCTCGCACCAGAGCTGGAAGACTGCCCCAGGGGCTGGGGACATGGCTTTCCAGGTGTTGGTGGGAGTGGGGCAGTCCTGGAGGGGCTGTGTTGGGTGTGCACCCCTCCTTCCCTCTTGTCCCCCCTTGCTGATGTCTGAGCGCTGCTGCCCGTGTTCCTGCTGCCTTTTAATGCCACAGGTCTGTGCTTGAGCTGGGCAGAAAGAGGCCTTTGTTCAGGGCTTTGGGGGCAGAGCATGGGCACAGTAGGAGGAGGAGAGGCTCCCTGTGCCCCATGGACACACCACAGCCACCACATCCACTTGCTGCAGGCGAGCCCCGTGCCATGGTTCCTTCTAGATTGAATTCTGACTCAGTTTCCCTCCCGCTGCTGGAGCCCTGAGCCAACAACACACACACAGCACTCTGTTCCAGCTAAAATTTATTCCTACACGAGTCTCCCTTGTACGAGACACATCCTGCCCATCTTGCTTACACAGTAAACAAGCCACCTGCCGAGCTGCAGCACTGCCCCAGCCCGGGACCCACCTTTGCCCCCCAGCCCCACCGGGATGCCCCTGGGGGATGTGCTTGGGGCAGGGGGGCTCAGCCCGTACCCAAAGCAGGATGGGTGCTGGGTTGGACTGGGGCTGGGGTTGTGCTGGGTCAGTTGCATGTCCCCCCCCATTGCACCTCAGGCAGGGCGGGATGGGGAGGAGAATAAATTAGAGAAAAGGCTAAAAAGGCCACTGGCATTTGCTAGCTGCAGGATAGAGCAGTGGGGCTAGGTGAGCATCTCTAGGCACCCCATGGGGCTCCTGGTGAAGAGGGGAGGAAAGCCCCAGTACTGGAAAGGTGCTGCCCACCCCCCCACCCCCCATAGGACGGACATCCCTGTGCACCCCAAGGGCCTCCCGCGCCCCGAAATGGTTTAAGGCACCGTCGTATAAGGAGGTGGGTCAGTCCCCCCGGCGTGAGTCCCTGGGCAGCCAGGAGGGATGCTCCAGGATGAGAGAAGTCCGTGATAAATAGAAAGAAACTCCATGAAACATCATCCTCCCTCCTGGCCGTGAGTCCTGGGCCGATCAGAAAGCAGATAGAGGTGGGATGGAGGTGACCAAAGAGCTGTAATCCTTCACCAGGAGGTTTGGAGGAGCTGGGAGGAGGCTTGTGGATCCTCGGGGATGGCAGAGTAGTACAAAGATGGCAGAAGGGACCCAACTCTTGGTGTCCCCAAGGTCCTGGTGGGAGCAGGCAGCCCCATGGCCCTTGCTCAGTGTTTTTATTACACACCAGAAAGAAAAAAGAACAACCTACCCCAGGGTAAAAAGCAAACACCAGCGGCCCGGAGGCACCGGGGCTACCTGGGTTCTGCCCTCATTTTGGAGCTTTCTACTGTTCTTGGGGTGCCAAAATCCAGGTAGGAGGCTCTGAGGGGTGCCCAGGGGGCCGGCTACATGCGTGAGGATGGGCTGGCCAGCTCGTAGAAGAGCAGGTAGGCATCGCTGCTGCGTACGTGGCTGGAGGACATCGGGGTGACGCTGCAGAGATATGGGGAGATGCACTATGAGCAATGGGGTGCCCACACGAGGTCCCCCTCCCCGTGCCACCCATGCAGCCTCACCGGGAATCATTGAAGCTGTGCCACTCGCCGGAGATGGGGCTCTTGCAGTAGGCAGTGTAGTGTCCCCCCATGGTGGTGCCCGAGTGGTTGGAGACGGCGTAGAGGTTGTAAATGGCGTGGTCTGAGGGGACAGGGTGAGGATCAGTGGTACCCACATGTGAGCTCTGAGCTCTGCCCCCCCAGCCCAAGCACTTACTGCAGCTCTGCGAGGCGAACTCCCTCAGGTCCAGGTCCTTCAGTGGGAAGTTGACGAAGGTGGTGAGCTTGCTGGCTCGTATCCTGGCTTCTGAGAAGCGCTTCAGGTCTTTGGGGGGGCACGTCAAGGAGATGGGGAGCAAAGGGAAGCCTGCAAAGAGCTGCCACCCTGCACCAGCCCCACCAACCCCTTTTATTAGTACAAAGGATACGGAGCACCAAGATCTTGGGGAACTTCTGGATGCTGAATTTCTTCGTGCACCGCGTCCTGGCTTTGCAGCGACAACACGTCTGCAGGCAGTGAGCAGTACAGTGAGGACCCATCCTGCACCCATGCAACTCCCTGTGCCCCCACCCCACATCCCATACCGGTTTCTCATCCCCATCCAGCACGTCCTCTTTGGTGAAGAGCCGCAGGCAGTCCATCAGGGTGACTTCCCCATAGCCTTTCTGTGGGAGGAGGGCACAGTCAGGAGCACGGTTTATGGGGCACAATGTGTGGGGTAGGGGGACAGGGAAGAATGGGGACACCTCACCTTGGGGATGGGCAGGGAGAGGTCCCAGAAGGGGTCAAAGGCTGTGGAGCAGTAGCCGCACTCACTGCAGGTCAGTGAGCTCTTCAGCTGCCCAACGAAGAGATCTGGGGGCAAGGGGATGGAGAAGGGTGAGTCTCCAGGCCTCAGCCCCCTGCCTGCCCCCACCCCTCCCTGTATGCTCACCACTAACACGGCTGTCCTCCCGCTCCTGGTACCTCCGCCACATCTGGCGGCTCTTCTCATCATCACTGCGAGACAGAGGGACAGAGCTGCTGAGCAATGCTGGATCCCACGGGCATCCAACCCCCATCCCACCACCCACCCCACACTTACGGGAGGTGGTCCAGGGTGTCAGCATTGGCCCGCGGCCGCACCAGCACGCGGTTCACCTCACTGTGCAGCCCATCCAGGAGGAAGCGCAGGAACTCCTGTGCATCCTGCTGGCTGCAAAGCAAAGGGGCATGGCTGTGAGAGACCCCCCGGGGGCTCTGCACACACCACCAGGCCCACACCACCAGCCCCACACCGCCAGTCCCTACTTGTATCCAACAAAGCGTGGGGCGTATCTCTGGATCTGCGTCTTGAACTCGGAGGGGCTCACGCTGTCATTGGGGGATGAGGTCCAGAGCAGCTGGATCAGCTTTGCGAACTCTGCGTGCAGAGAGGAAGCTCAGCAATACGGGGAGGGGGCAGATGTGCCCCATAGCTGTCCTCATCCTGCCCCCCACCCCAGATACCTGACATGAGCGCGGTGCGCATGCGGCTGTTGTTGTTGAGGTCCCGCAGGTACTGGTTCTGCAGGCAGTAATCCCGCAGCTCCTTGGTGTTACTCAGGCACTGCAGGATGGAGTTCATGAAGCACTGGGGGAGGCAGAAAACCATGGCAACGTAAGGCGGAGGGAGGAAGGCGGGTGGTGGCAGGGGGGCACCTTGGGACGGGTGGGCAGGGGATGGGGATGGAGAAGGGGGGAGAGTGGGAAGGCATTTGTCCACCTGCACCACTGGGAGAGTGGATACTGGGGTCCCTAACGTGCCCACAGAATGGCACTGTGTGGGTTGGGGCTGTGCCCACACATGAGGGCAAGCACTCACCGTATTGCCAAGGTTCCGCAGCCCAGTCAGCCCCTGCACCACCTTGGAGCTCTGCAGAGAGAAGGAGTAGGGCTGAGACAGGCTGCCTATGAGTAGCCCGTGGGGCCACCAGCACCGCTGTGGGGCAGCCCCACATGGCCATGCAGGGGCATTCCGGGCTCTCTTGGCACTGCCATGCATAGTAGAAGCCTGAGGACCCATTGCTCACCCAGCTGCCTGGCCTGGGATGACTCCCAGGGCTCAAAGTCCTTCTTGCTGCCCTATGCCCTGCAGGCCAAGCTGGCCACCCCCTGCCTCTCCCTGCCAACCCTACACCCTGGGAAGCTGTGGGTGGCCGTGCTCCATGCCTGCCCTATGGCTGAAGGGGGTGTCCCACTGCTGCCCATCCCTCCAGGACACCCCACACAAGTGCCACCCTCCACAGACACGGCGGCTTTGTGGGATAAAGTCCAGAGAGGGCGGTGACAGGGTGAGCCTCCCCGACCTGTGCCCATCACGGCCAGCTCCCGGTCCTCCCCCAGGCGTGAGGAGGGGGAGGAGGAGGAGAGGAGGGGGCCCGTCAGCTCCAAAATAGCAGCAGCTGGTGCGCGTGTGGGAGGTGCTGAGCACCCAGCCCTGACAGCAGCCCAAAATAACCCAGATACAGTTACACGTGTGCCATAGCAATGGTGCAGGCATCACCCACAGCAGGGGCACAGCACCGGTGGGCACCCAGGTGCCCCGTGCCGGGCAGACGTGGCTCTGCTGGGCAGCTCGGGTGCTCTGCATGCGGGCCAGTGCCTATAGCAGAGAGCTGGCCCAATGGCCCCACAGCCCTCATCCCTTCCCATGGGGCAGGGATGCACAAGAACCCCGATGCCATAGCCGTGGCTACACCAAGGTCGTATTTCCCCCCCCACGTTTTCCCTTTCCTGGGTGACTCAACTCCAGCTAATCCCCCTCGCCCGGCCGGGGCTTTATCTAGGACACGGCGCGGCTCACAGGCGGCGGAGCAGAGCTGGCTCACGCGGCAGCGGCGGTGGCTGGGGAGTCCCTGAGGCTGCACTGCGGGAGGGGGACAGGGGACAAGGCGCGGGGATGGGGACAGGATGCGGGCCGCCCTGCTCCACCCGTTCACCAGCAAAGTGCTGGAGAAACCCAACTTAGCTAAGTGCCCAGACCCTGACCTCCATGGCCCTGCTGTGCCTGCGTTGGGCGTCCCCACTCCTGGTACTGCTCCCACTTGTGCCGGTGACGCCACCACCACGCTGTATGGCCACCAGCTCCTCCTTGCCACGGGGGCATGGGATGGGGCCAAGGTCACGGCCAGGGCAGCGCTGGCCAAGGGACCCTGGTGCACAGCCACGTGCTTTCACCTCCCCTCCTGCTCCCTGCTCCCTGCTTGGGAGGCGCCGTCCCCCAGCGCCGGTGGCATCGATGGGCACCAGCACCACGCACCCCATCCTGCAGCAACGTGCACCCCGAGGGGCAGCGGGGAGCCCCGCGCTCCCCAAAGCACACAGCAGATTCCCCCTCCCCATCGTTCCCTCCTCGGCCCCCCATCCTCCGGGCTGCTCGTACCTTGGTCTTGTTGAGGACGAGCCCG